TCACAAGGTGAGCACAAGTCAGTGGTCAGCAGATCAATGGTCACGAGCTGAGCACAGCAAGCCGGTGGTCAGCAGGGCTGTGGTCACCAAGGGAGCCCAGCAGGTCGGTAATTAATCCTTAGGTTCTTGGAAGAGATGCTTATCCTTAAGGAGATGCTGATATGGGGGGAAGCCACATCCCTGTCTTTAAGGGCATCATTCTTTGAGACATTGTAAATAGTTAAAGCAGATGTACAAGGCAGGCTCAACAGGCCATGTCAGGCCTTTCTGGAAAAACAAGGTCAGGCCGAATTAGTTTCCTCATATATTATGAGGAATATATGAGGAAATGGCTTCTTCCTCATATATTACGATATATCATTGCTTTTTATTTATTCATCACTAGGCACAAAATGTGAAGATCTTTGTGTGACAGGACTATGTCCACCAGAAAGCATTCCCCATGGAGGAGGCACTAAGCCACAAATTAGACAAAATAGTCAGTTGACGTCAGCCAGCTTTGTCCCTGGCTACCTAAGTGCTGGCACCATAGGCACCTCACTTACTCGTGATGTCCCTTGAGTACAGGTGAGAGAGCGGAAGATTGGTTCCCAGCTCATGTGCATTGAGCAGTCACAACTCTTTTACTGTTGCAAAGGAAAGATTATATTCTGTCACTTTGAAATCTAATGTAATAATTTTTTAAAATTTATTTTTATTATTTTTTTTAAAGATTGGCACCTGAGCTAACAACTGTTGCCAATCTTTTTTTTTTCATTCTTCTCCCCAAAGCCCCCCAGTACATAGTTGTAGATTCTAGTTGTGAGTGTATCTGGTTGGGGTATGTGGGATGCCACCTCAGCATGGCCTGACGAGCGGTGCCGTGTCTGTGCCCAGGATCCGAACCATCGAAACCCTGGGCCGCCAAAGAGGAGTGCACAAACTTAACCACTCGGCCACAGGGCCGGTCCCAGTTTAATAATTATTAATTAATTAAGCAGTAGTCAGATTAGAAGATTTCCAAAGTTCCTCTAAGCACTCAAATTTTATGACTTAACTGTCTCAGCATTAATAGTCCTTATTTACTGTCTACTATGTATGACTATGCATTTCCTGAGGTCTGTCTAAGGCTCGATGGCTTTTAAAAGTACTTTTTTACCTCTCGTCCTAACTTTTTGGATTGAAAAACGTCAGAGTCTTCTTCATATATAGTTATGAAATGTAAAATAGAGATTGTATTTCAATCATATAAATAAATTGTAATCGGCAAAATTAAAGAGCAAAAGTGAGCTTCCATGAGGAGAAGCTGAAACCCTGCCCCGACCTTTTGCATTTCTCTTGTGACTCGGGAATGAATAATCCCTGAAGGATTAGCGTATAAGGTTAGCTGCTAGATTTTAGAAATCAGCCATTCCAAGAATAATCAAAGTTGTCATCATAGCAATTCGGTCTTTATATGTGTGTCTGCACGAGCTAAAAAAAATTATCAAATTATCAAAAATGTCGAGAGTCTTGTTCAGGTAGTTTTAAATGATGGGTGTTGGAAGGTTATTGGCAAGACTCTGATACAAGTTTGGAAAGAATTTCAATGTCCATAGTCTGTAGCTTGTACACTAGGTTCACATAAATTTCATCCTATCAACTAAATTGTACTTGGCCTAGACATAGCTGCTTCTTAGCTCCTTGCAAATATAATGTGTATTGAACCTTATATCTGATATAAAATAATTAGTATAATTATTTAAATATTAAAACTACAGTTCCAAACAAATTAAAATACTGATTATTATCAGTAGCATAATTAGCCATAGTAAATTTAATTTTTGCTATCATCTTTAGTCATGATCGGTTTGAAATCATATTCTGTTAGACCAATGGTTCTCTCTTATACCCACATAGTAGGTTTCAGAGCTTCAGGGGACCCCCGGGGGCCTCCCAGTCCCCAGGAGCTGTAACTAGGTACAGAAATGGGCTTCTCTTTGCCAGGACCACTTCTATGATCCTATTTAATGGAACTCACTTTTCTTTGGAAAGTAGGTAATTAGTTGGTCTTTTCTCTTGTTTCCATTTCATTAATTCAGTTAATTAATTTGATAAATATTTATTTGAGTCCCTAAACTGTGCTAGGGACTGTTCTGGGTGGTGGGCATACCTCGGTGAACAAAATAGACAAAAATTCCTGCCTTGGGGAGCTTACATTTTGCTGGCAGAAGAAGGATAATAAAATAAATCAGTAAATGATCTAGTATATTGGAAGGTGGTATGATGGAAAAAAAGAGACCAGGAGGGAGCATAAGGGAAGACTGGGGGTAGCGGGGTGGGGAGCCGCACCTTCAAGTAGGGCAGTTAGGAAGGACCCCTGAGAAGAGGACATTTAGGCCTCTAGAGACCTGACCCTGGTGAGAGAAGAGTTTTGTGGATATCTGGGGGAAGATGATTCCAGCAAGTGCAAGGACTTCAAGCCTGCTTTCCTTGTGAGTTTTTATTTTGCCAGTTTCCTCCCCTCAGGTAATTTGGTAATGATGGGCAATAGCAAATAATTTCTTTTTTTTTTTAAAGATTGGCACCTGGGCTAACAACTGTTGCCAATCTTTTTTTTTTCCTGCGTTATCTCCCCAACCCCCGCGCTGTACATAGTTGTATATCTTAGTTGCAGGTCCTTCTAGTTGTGGGATGTGGGACGCCGCCTCAGCGTGGCCTGACGAGCGGTGCCATGTCCGCGTGCAGGATCCGAACCCTGGGCCGCCGCAGCGGCGCGCGCGAACTGAACCACTCGGCCACGGAGCCGGCCCCGCAAGTAACTTTGAAATTCTGATTAAATTGGAAGTGTTGACTGTCAATGACCAATCGCCTTTCCTGGCCTCCTTCACCATGCCCTTCAGTTCATCCCGGGTTTCTTTATCCCTAGGTCCTCACAGAGATACGCTGGATGAGACGAGTGCCGAAGACTAGTAGTTGTCTCATCCCCTGCTGGGTGGAGGTAAGGAGGAAGGGCTGGGAAGTCAACCAGGAAAAGAGATCCCCTTTCAGTGTTTTCCTTTATGAAAGTCCTGCTTGTGGTGAAGTTTGCGTGTGAAGGAAAATTCTCAGGACTCTCTTCAATAGTTGAGATGAGGAAAAAAAACCCACCTCAAAACCCAAAATTATAAATAATTCCATTCCTTCCATTTCATGCATTTAAAATTAAACAGATACAGTAGTAGTTAATACAGTTATAAAATCATAAAATAATATTTCTAGTATAATTTTAAATTCTGGATAAAGGAAAAGTTATAAAACTTCTGCTTTCCTTATATTAACTGGAATTTCAAAAAGCATCCTATTGCTCTCACTCTGTTTTTGCATGTGTTGGGTGCTAGTGTCAAGGGAGAGGTTTTGACCTGTAGCGTCGGGCTGTATTAGAAAGGTGCCTTAAAAAGTAGAGTGTGCTGAGCACACAGCACCACCATCCTCACCAGCTGCATCTCCATTCCTTTTAGACGCGTGGCAAGTGTTTACCGGTGTTGGGAGATAGACAAGGTTGTATTCATCCATAACTACATAGTATCCACCCAGGACGAAAACCAGGCACTTTAAGCAAAGTTCACTTCATTCTCCGTGAATAAGCCATTATTTAGCCTCTCTGCTTCAGTTCCCTCATCTGAAAAGCGAGGATAAAATAGTACTCGACTGCTTTATATCGTTAAAGTCAGAATTAAATGGGATAATTCAAGCAAAGAACCAAGATCAGGGGCCGGCTGGTGGCCCAGTGGTTGAGTTCGAGCTCCGCTTAGGTGGCCCAGGGTTTCGCTGGTTGGGATCCTGGATGCAGACCTAGTACCGCTCATCAGGCCATGCTGAGGCGGCATCCCACATAGCAGAGCCAGAAGGACGTACAATTAGAATATAAACTATGTACTGGGGGCTTTGGGGAGAAGCATAAAAAAAAGATTGGCAACAGATGTTAGCTCAGGTGTCAGTCTTAAACAAAACTAAAATCAATGCCTGGCATACAAAAGCGCTCAAAAATGTTTACAATTACTATTAAATTCATGAAAATATCTACAGTGAAGGGGCATCTCAGAGTTCTTCCCAGAGGTCTAGTGTAAAGATACATCTCAGGGTGGCCTGGTGGTTAAGTGCACACGTTCTGCTTTGGTGGCACGGAGTTCCCAGTTCGGATCCTGGGTGCAGACATGGCACTGCTTGGCAAGCCATGCTGTGGTAGGCGTCCCACATATAAAGCAGAGGAAGATGGGCACGGATGTTAGCTCAGGGCCAGTCTTCCTCAGCAAAAAGAGGAGGATTGGCAGCAGATGTTAACTCAGGGCTTATCTTCCTCAACAACAACAACAAAAAGATATACATCTCTCATGATATCCTGCAAAGTTTTGATTTTATTATCAGAACCAGCTACTTCAGTTTATTGGTTCTGTCCTCTCACGGACACTGATCGGACCCTCATTCTCAGTCGGATCTTGTGCCAGGGAATTAGTTGCTCTGAATCCAGTACTTTGTTTTTCACTGGAGTTCACAGCGTTATTAAATCTCAAGCATATGCCCGGTCTTCAAAAAGACTGTCCGAAACTAAACCGAGAACGCCTTGGGAGGCGCCCAGATCCGGTGGAAGGTGAGGAGGGCTGGGCATCGTGCCCCGAGAGGCGACGAAGGAGCTGCTGGCCTCGGCCTGGTGCCCGGCCTTTGGAGCTCTCCCGGGCATCGTTCCAGGCTGGTGGCAGAAGAGGATGCAAGAGGTGCCCTCTTCTGAGTTACATCACGTGCAGAGACGTGGAGGTGGCAGGGCCGCGGCGCCCTTCCCCCGCGGGGCCGACGCTCCGTCCGGATCCGCTTCTGCCCACGTCCCGCCCCTCCCGCGGCGCTCGCGGCCCCGGCGGCTCACCTGCCGCAGGTGTGCGTCCCGGGCGGGCCCGGCGCGCGGCCGCCCCTCTGCTCCGGCGGGGCCCAGGGCAGCCCGCGCGCGGGGAGGCCGCGCCTCCTCCCGGAACTGGCCGGCGCGGCGCGGCGGGCGGAGCGGCGGCGCCGGGGCATGGAGCCCCTTCCCGCGGCCGGGGCCCCGACGGGCGAGGAGGAGCCAGAGCCGGGGCCGGGGCGGCGGGGCGGCCGGGAGAGCCGCACGGCGTCCCTGGTGAGCGGGCTGCTCACCGAGCTCTACAGCTGCGCCGACGACGAGGCGGCGGCCGGCGGGGGCCGCGGGCCCGGGGGGCGCCGCGACAGCCCCGACAGCTCCACCGAGGCCTCGGGCTCCGACGCGTTCCTGGGCGGCCGCGGCGGCGCCGGCGACTCCCGGCTGCTGCAGGAGCTGCAGGAGCTGCAGGGGCGGCCGAGCCCGCGGCGCCAGAGGCAGTACCTGCGGCAGAAAGGTAGGGCTCGGCGACCCATGCGCGCACCTGCCGGCCGGCGCCCCTCGAGCCCGCGCCCGCTGCGTCCCTGAGCCCGGGCTGGCCTGCGTGCTCGCGGTCGCCCCCAGCCCCGCTCGGGGGTCGCGTGGAGCGTCCGCGTCGGAGAGGCAGCGTGGGGTCCCCCGCAGAGCGTTAGTGGAGGCCCCGGGGAGGCCGTCCTGGGTCCAGGTGCACCGGAGCAGCTGCTGGGACACGTGTGGCGTTCTGAAGGGTCTATCTGAAGTTGCCCAGAGGCGCCGGGAGGACAGAGGCGTCCCCCCTTTTTTTTTTTTTTTTTAAATCCGCCTTCCGCGGCCACGCCACTTGGATGGTGTTTAACTAGTGAGGCAGAATAATTCGATAATGCAGTTTCCAAGCAGAGCGTGTAAATGCGCTTCTGCCAGAATGTGTGGTTTCAAGAAGCTCGATAGGTGGGTTTTTTTCCTTCTCCACGGCAGGAGGTTAGTGCAGGGCCTTAGGGCCTTGGCGTTATCACAGAATGTGACTGCTGGTACCTTCCGTTGGAGAGGTCGACCCGAAAATGGCCTTGGCTGTCAGGCGGAGAGGCTAATTTGGTGTTTCTTTTGTTGTCAGACTTTGATGCTTGTGGCCTAATTGAGATTTTTTTTTTCCTCTCAACTGTTCATAATAGCTTGCCTTTCAGGCACTAATACAGTTACTACACTTGTCTTTTTTTATAAGTGTATCAAGACTTAGTTTACAAAATGAAGTGAGGTGTGGAAAACGAATGCTGAGACACCATAACATTTCTTAATGTCCTTATGCTAAATTACCAGGGGAGGAAGGAAAGAGAGAATACTATAGAATGTTCTCCAGTCTCCTAATTGTAAAATCAGACTAGCTGGTGCCAGGGGAAAAATAAACAACCAGAAAAAGAATAAATCTGTCTGCTTTCTCAAATCTGTGTAAACAGCTTCAGCTTCCTCTTTTGGCTTCCCAGTGAAGATTTTTTTCCCCAGCTTATTGTTACAAATGGCTTCCACCTTCCTCCCCCTGCCTGGGACTTTAGCTGGAGTGGTGCCATTTCATTTTATATAATTATTTGGCTCTTCCCAGAGTGTCTGTTTATGGCAAGAATTCTGTCGGGCAACAGTTCTTTCAGAATCCAACAAAATCAATTTTGAAGAATTATGATTTTGGTTTCTGTTTTACAAGGCTGTTCACTTTTCATTGCTGAGCGAATGTGGGGGACTAGTAATTTCCTTTAGGAAGGGGAAATTTGGCAAGCTAAATTTTAAAGAAGACGTTATCAGTACAGCTTTGCGAGTGGATTTCAGCGAGCGACCGCTCTACTAGTCATTTGTAAGACCTGTAAGAGTATATTTGCCCGAGTCTTATGGTTAGTTGCCTGTTAATCTTTTTTTTCCTTGTGGTCGACCCTCTTAGGAGGAACGAGGTGCTATGTTATAACAGTCCTATACGCACCCCCCTTCATGGGTAAACGTCATTACAGTACTAAGAATAAAGAATTGGCATGGTGATCTAAAGTCATAGCTTGATGACTGTAATTAATAATAGTGGATTGCATATTTGAACGTTGCTAAGAGAATAAGTCTTAAAAGTTCTCATCGCACAAAATTTTGCAATTATGTATGGTGACTGCTGCTAACCAGACTTACTGTGGTAAAAAAAGAATCAGGTGATGGGAACAGATGTCTGCTTCAAAAATTTTGCGGCTTAGAAGGTTACTTGATTTTTTTCAGGGTCAGAAAATATCCCTGCTAACATAATACTTCGTAAGAGTCTCCTAGAGTGCGGATCGTTCTCTCCCCTCTCTGTGAGGGATGTTGCTGCAGTCTCGAGGTAGCACCTGTTTAGATACTTAGCATGTGTGGGGATTTATGTGAGCCCCCAAAATGGTTTCTCAGGAATCCAGGCTCTCCTCGCAGTGGTTTCATTAAGGGGGTGAACTTTGGAGTCAGAATGCTTGAGTTGATATCCTGCTGCGGTTCTTACTAGCTGTGTGACCGTGGACGAGCTCTTTAACGTCTGTGCCTCATTTGCCTCCCCTATACATAGGGATAATAATACTACGTACCTCAGAGGGCTGTAGTGAGAATGATACAAGTTAACGTGTGTGAAGTCCTCAGTAGATGGTAGGTATTATTTTCATTATCATATATGCTGGAATTCCTTAGAGAAGAGATAGTCTGCTGTTTGTCAGCTGATGATCTCCTCATTGTCCCTCATTTATTTAGCACTGTGTTAGGAGCTGTGACTGATCATACAAAGGTAAAGGAGACCTTATTCCTGTCCTCAGGATGCTTATCTACTAGCAGATATTGCTGTAGAAGGCTTTTCCAAACTCTTCTGAAGATTTTTCCCATGCGTATAATTCAGAGAATCAGAGAACTGTAGATACTGTAAGAGTCACTGAAAATGACTGTTTGTAGAAGAAAAATATACTTTAAATGCAAGGTGATGATGATATTCTTACCCCTTTTGTTTCTAGAAGGAAAATTTTTCAACATTCAAAACAAGGCTATTTGCTGTATCTGAAGGAATCTAGGAATCAAGAGCCTCTGGTTTGGTCCTGCAGCTTGTTCCCATGTTTAATCTTCCTTACAACCCGAATACTTCCATTTAACCCGTGTGCTCTCACTTCCCATTATATCCCACCGTGTTCAGACTCAATGGGAGAGAAATAACTGGCTTTCATTCTCCTCTTCATAGTAATCCTTTATTCTCATGTTAGTGCTATTCATGCGTATAAAGACTGTTGACATTTGTTTCTCAGGATAATCAAGTATGCTAAGCGTGACTTGAGACTTGTGGCACTACCTTGCTTAAGATCACACAGGTAGTTGGTTGACCCAGAGGCAGTTCTTTTTAACTTGCGGTCAAATGCATGTTCCGTCACATGGTCAGGTATGACAGCTGTTAAAGCACGCCCTTCACTTCTCTTATACTGACCCCAGAGTTCACTTCCTTTGACCTTTGGAGCATTTTTCTTGCTTTTAACATTTCTTTTGTTCTCTTCTGATCCTCTCCAGTTTCTCCAAATCCCTTTAAAAATGAGTAGATCCAAACTCCACATAGGCCCTCTACTGAGGGCCCAGCTAATGCCAAATTGAGTGGAATGCTTCGCCTGCCTGGCAGCGAGTAATGATAATATTGCGTGATAAACAAAACTTCTAAATTGTAATGATTATTCATATAAAGATTGTTGTCGCTTCTGGTTCCCAGGTCTTTTTTTCACTTGTAGAAAATTGTTGAGAATTTTAGTTTTGTGAATATAGAATTATCCTTCACTTATCTGTTTAAGGAAATATATTTTCTACCATATCTGAAAAATTACTGAGTGGCTAAGATGGAATATTGTATTTGATAGTCAAACTATGGGAAGACATATGTTTAAAACAAACCAGTATTGCCACATTCCTCTGCATTAGAAAACGAGGTAATATTATTTACTTTTTTTTTTTTTTGAGGAAGGTTAGCCCTGAGCTAACATCTGCTGCCAATCCTCCTCTTTTTTGCTGAGGAAGCCTGGCCCTGAGCTAACATCCGTGCCCATCTTCCTCTACTTTCTATGTGGGACGCCTACCACAGCATGACATGCCAAGCGGTGCCACGTCCGCACCCGGGATCCGAACTGGCAAACCCCAGGTGGTTGAGGAGCGGAACGTGCAAACTTAACCACTGCGCCACTGGGGCGGCCCAACATTGTTTACTTTTAACTGATCATTTACAAGTAAAAGTGAGTGTTTTTAAAGACATTTGTTATTAGCTATTAGGTTTATCATTGATGTAACAGACTCAAAAATACTCTTTTCTTGCAAGCTTACTGTCTGAGCAATTTAATGATAGAAAATATACATGCCAATTTTCAGGCGATGAAAGGTAAATTTGCAACCAGAGCTAGATATGGTCAAAGTAAGAGTCTTTGCTTACGTGTTACAGGTAGCCTCAAGGATAAAATTTTTTTTTTTTATTGAGTTATTGATAGGTTACAATCTTGTGAAATTTCAATTGTACATTAATGTTTGTCAGTCATGTTGTAGGTGCACCACTTCACCCTTTGTGCCCACCCCCCACCCCACCTTTCCCCTGGTATCCACTAAACTGTTCTTGGTCCATAGTTTTAAATTCCTCATATGAGTGGAGTCATACACAGATTATCTTTCTCTTGCTGGCTTATTTCACTTAACATAATTCTCTCAAGGTCCATCCATGTTATTGCAAATGGAATGATTTTGTTCTGTTTTGCAGCTGAGTAGTATTCCATTGTATATATGTACCACATCTTCTTTATCCATTCGTCTGTTGATGGGCACTTAGGTTGCTTCCACGTCTTGGCTATTGTAAACAGTGCTGCAATAAACATTGGGGTGCACAGGACTTTTGGGATTGCTGACTTCAGGCTCTTTGGATAAATACCCAGTAGTGGGATGGCTGGATCGTATGGTAGTTCTATTTTTAGTTTTTTGAGGAATCTCCATACTGTTTTCCATAGTGGCTGCACCAGTTTGCATTCCCATCAGCGGTGTATGAGGGTTCCTTTTTCTCCGCAACCTCTCCAACATTTGTTGCTATTAGTTTTAGATATTTTTGTCATTCTAACGGGTGTAAGGTGATATCTTAGTGTAGTTTTGATTTGCATTTCCCTGATGATCAGCGATGATGAGCATCTTTTCATGTGCCTATTGGCCATCAGTATATCTTCTTTGGAGAAATGTCTGTTCATGTCTCCAGCCCATTTTTTGATTGGGTTGTTTGATGTTTTGTGATTGAGTTGCAAGAGTTCTTTATATATTAAGGATATTAAGCCTTTGTCAGATACATGACTTGCAAATATTTTTTCCCAGTTAGTGGGTTGTTTTTTTGTTTCAATCCTGTTTTCATTTGCCTTGAAAAAGCTCTTTAATCTGATGAAGTGCCATTTGTTTATTCTTTCTATTGTTTCCCTTCTCTGAGAAGGCATGGTGTCCGAAAAGATCCTTTTAATACTGATGTCAAAGAGTGTACTGCCTACGTTTTCTTCCAGAAGCCTTATGGTTTCAGGTCTCACCTTTAGGTCTTTAATCCATTTTGAGTTTATTTTGGTGAATGGTGAAAAAGAATGGTCAATTTTCATTCTTTTACATGTGGCTTTCCAGTTTTCCCAGCACCATTTGTTGAAAAGACTTTCTTTTCTCCATTGTATGCCCTCAGCTCCTTTGTCAAAGATAAGCTGTCCATAGATGTGTGGTTTTATTTCTGGGCTTTCAATTTTGTTCCATTGATCTGTGCACCTGTTTTTGTACCAGTACCCTGCTGTTTTGATTACTGTAGCTTTGTAGTATGTTTTGAAGTCAGGGATTGTGATGCCTCCCGTTTTGTTCTTTTTTCTCAGGATTGCTTTAGCAATTCGGGGTCTTTTGTTACCCCATATGAATTTTAGGATTCTTTGTTCTAATTCTGTAAAGAATGTCATTGGGATTCTGATTGGGATGGCATTGAATCTGTAGATTGCTTTAGGTAGAATGGACATTTTAACTATGTTTATTCTTCCAGTCCATGTACATGGAATGTCTTTCCATCTCCTTATGTCGTCATCCACTTCTCTCAGAAAGGCCTTGTAATTTTCATTATATAGGTCCTTCACTTCCTTAGTTAAATTTACCCCAAGGTATTTTATTCTTTTTGTTGCGATTGTGAATGGTATTGTATCCTTGAGTTCTTTTTCTGTTGGTTCATTACTGGAGTATAGAAATGCTACTGATTTATGCAAATTGATTTTATACCCTGCAACTTTGCTGTAGTTGTTGATTACTTCTAACAGTTTTCCAATGGATTCTTTGGGGTTTTCTATATATAAGATCATGTTGTCTGCAAACAGCGAGAGTTTCACTTCTTCCCTCCCTATTTGGATTCCTTTTATTCCTTTTTCTTGCCTGATTGCTCTGGCCAGGACCTCCAGTACTATGTTAAATAAGAGTGGTGATAGAGGGCATCTCAAGGATAAAATTTATCTTACGGTATTTGTCTCATGGACAGGGTGGAAACAGATAAATGATTTATTTGATCAGAATATCTTAGTTGAATGCGGACCTGTAACCCTGGGTGAGAACCCAGACTTACTTGCTTTAAATGGGTGTTTGAGATATTTATCCTACAGTTAGTATTACATTGGCATTTGTATTACTTTTAGAGTATTTATGGTTCCATTTTTATTTTTCTTTACTGATAGATACTAATGAACTGAAGACGATTCTTCGAGAGCTGAAGTACAGAATTGGCGTTCAGTCGGCGAAGTTACTGCGGCAGCTGAAGCAGAAGGATAGGCTTCTGCATAAAGTACAGAAGAACTGCGATATTGTGACTGCATGCCTGCAGGCTGTGTCGCAGAAGAGAAGTAAGTGCTGTCCTGGAGTTAACCCTTTTGCATGTGGAATGTTAGTGAAGCTGAGTCAATAGTCATTGTGTTTTTGAATATGTTGAAAGTTTTAAATGGAAGCTTATACCCTCAGAACTAAGAGCTGTGAACAACTCAGACAGCTTCCTATTTTTTCAGTTAAAATGTATATTACATGTGTGATGTTACAGATTTACCTTTTTATTCTAGATTTGTGGTAGTACTTTACTTTGACGATGGTTATTTTTACCTGATGCTAAATAATGGCTGAAATCTTTATTTTTAGAACAGCATCAAATAGACACCAAATGCATATCTTTACTCTCTTATTCTCTGTGTTGCTCTAATAAGTGAATTAAAAATCGGCTTAAAAGAAGGAGACTCTTGTAACAGGATCTTACAACTAGCCATTAGATTTGAAAAGGACAAATATTTTAACAAATTAAACCTATCTTCTGGGTAATCCGTTTGTAACTAAGAGATGGGTAGTTTGCTAATTGAGTTAAAAATAAATTGTTAAATTGCTACTCCGTGTTAAATACTAGACATGGAAGCTTGTGAATTAATTTTTTAATTCTCCATGCAATAGTTTGATGTTTTATTTTGCTAACATTTCCCTGTTTTTGTTTTGTATTCTTTATTAACATGCAGCACGGCAGAACAGTATGTTCAGGTATGGTAAATAGAGGCACCAATGATGTATTTTGATAAAAGGCCTGTGGCAGCTTTTTAGGTGCATGTGAAAGTTGCTTTCTCTTGTTCCTTTACCCTGCCACATTTTGTATGTAAAGTGACATCTCCTAGGGTTTTTTTAAATTCCAAATTAAGATGTGTTTGTTTTCATAAAACAATTTTCAGGGCTTGATTAGTTTTGAATAATGAAATTAGTGGCTTACATTCTATTCTTATGTTTATTATTAAAAGAAAACACCATGTTTTCTATCTCCTCTTTTATTATATCGTTGTTTATTATCCCCAAATTATTATTCTTGCTGTTTACTAAAGAAGGTTTTAACTAATGTGTACGGAACAGAATGCTGCTTGAATTATCATAATGATATAATGGTGCAAACAGGAAGCAGGAGTGTAACTGAGCAAACTGGTTTTAAATAAGTTTTTTTCCGGACCAGGCACTTGTCTGAAATAGCTGGAGAAGGAGGGTATAGATATAGATACACATATGGAGATGTATGTATTTTGTATAGATATATGTATATTGATTTTTCTCTTTTCAACTGTGTTTCCACCTACCCATCATTGTTGTTCATACCAGAAGTTAAAACCCGGAAGTGGTAAATGCAAGGAGTTTGGGTGTGGGAAAGTATGCGGGGATGGGGCCTGTGTCAGGGGGCAGAGAGGAAGGGCAGGCTAGTGCAGGGTCTCAGGTTGATAATTACCAGGGACTGATAATCATTTAGAATTTGAATTTACTTGACTGATGAAAGGACTAACATTTATGTCTTTTTAGAAAAATGTGTCCACAAGTACCCAATTTAATTGGTGAATTGGTGAATGCACCCTTCCCATGTATTTTAGAGATTGTCTCTTTAATTCCAGCTGGGGTTTTGCGTTTCAGACAAAAAGAGTTACTGACTCTTTTCCTTGGGAGTTCAGCCCTCCCCTGGGTAATATTTATCCCTTTTAGATCTCTAGAGGTTAGACGTTTTGTGACTAACTGCCTGATTCCAGTAGTTGCACATTTTGCCTCTTTCCTCAAAGTCAACTAGCAAATACGTTTAGTTAGAGTTCTAAAGAATCTGGGTCTCACTGTCCCACTGAATAACAGCTTTCAGTTTAGCCGTGACTGGAGGTGATGCGCTCAAATGCGGCACACGTATTGACGTGTTTGTATTCAATATGCAGCAGTCCAGGTAACCCCTATTTTCCGCTCCCTGTGGATTCGGTCCTTAAGATTCTTCCCATAAGTGACTTTCCCTTCCATAACGGGCTATAGAGTAAAAACTATTTTAATCTTTTATTAAAATGGGTTATTTCCTGTTGATACACAAAAGGGATATAATAATTTTGAAATAAGAACCGTAGGTAAGTGTGGATTATGAACCAAAGTGACTGGATCCTTTTTATTTCTAACACAGGCAATATAACTGATTAGACTTTATGGTTTCCTACACCAAGTCTTATGGTAGAATCCCTTTATTTTAAAACTGTGGTGGGAATACGATCGTCGGATTAATATACGCCTCACAGAAGAGCAGATTTTCCCCCTATATTGTTCATTCATCTGAGGATAACCATGGTATGACCAATTTAATATCAATAATAAAATTAATGATAATAGGAATGGCAGCAGCTGTTTCCATTCATTAAGTACATGCTTTCTGACAAACTGTTGGTTTTATCTCTCCTAGCAATTCCGAAAGGAGGTGTATCTTTGGGCACATTTTATTAAGAAACTGAGATTCAGAAAGTTTAAGTAATTTGCCTGAAGTCACATAGCTGATAAGTGGTTGAGATAGAATTTGAAGATAGGTGTCTCAAAAGTCCACTCTTTGCTCCATAAACTATAACAAAGAGGATTCTGCTTTTTCTTAGCATTTAGATTGATACTTCTGTAATATTATTGGAATATGGGTGGAGCAATAAGAAATTTGTAACATGCAGAGGACAAAGTACAGAGTTTCAGGCTTATTAGAATATGCTGCTTCAGCGTAGTTTGCATATGAAATAAGTACTTTTATTGGCCAGATGGATTATTGAACAAATGTAGTGTGGTGGGCAGGAAAATCCGCCTAAAGGTTTCAAGACAATGGGAAGAATAAGATGAATATTTGGCTAGGAGTTTGATTCTAATGTTAAGGTTTTTTTTTTTTCCTGCTTTTTCTCTCCAGATCCCCCCAGTACATAGTTGTATATTGTAGTTGTGGGTCCTTCTAGTTGTGGCATGTGGGACACCGCCTCAGCTTGGCCTGATGAGCGGTGCCTTGTCTGTGCCCAGGATCCAAACCAGTGAAACCCTGGACCGCGGAAGTGGAGTGCACGAACTTAACCACTCGGCCACGGGGCTGGCCCCTGATGTTAAGATTTTTAAGTGGTTTGCTTATCTTGTGGTTTAACTATTTTTCCTGAAAGCAGAGGAAGGCCATCTTAATTATCATCATTGCCTAGTTTGACAATTTTCTGCATTGGTGTAGTAAGTGTTTAAGTTATGCTGATTGAGTTTGTGAAATGGCTTTATAAATTAAGTGATAAAATCTAGCTGTCACTGGAAAACTGTGATAAGAGAAAAGCGTGAAAAAAAGTGAATATACATGGAAGTATTGTCTTTATTTTAACCTCGTCAATAAGTACAGGAATTTTAGGCTGCTTAGATCCTCAATTTATTATGCGTCCCCCCAGCATCCTGATAATGTGATTAAGTCTTGCCGTCTATCATCAATGCCTGGCAGAGACAGATACTCTGTCAAATGGTGAGTGGTCTTTGTTGTTTTTCTATGACTGCCTTTCCTACAAGACAAAAAAAAAGGTCCAGTGTTGTTGCTGCTCTGAAGCCTACCACCTTGGTGGTGGGCCATGGGATGTGGGTAGTTTTGAAATGTTATGGGAACTTGAGATGGACAGGGTTGGGGGACAATAAAGGAAGTGCCATGAAAAAAAATAGTACCTTGTCCTCTGTGGCAGGAGGAGGAATTTGTGTGACCTTGAGTTTGGTGGCACTGACATTCAACATTTTCCACTAAGAAACAATTGTGTGTGTTTTTAAAAAAATTATAAAAGTAATACACTCAACCAGCCATTCCACTCCTGGGTATTTGCCCAAGAGAATTGAAGAGTATGTCCCTATAAACTCTGGTACATGAATGTTCATAGCAGCATCTTTTATGGTAGCCAAAACGTGAAAACAACCCAAATGTCTACCCATAGATGAGCAGATAAACAAATATGGTATATGGAATATTATTCAGCCGTAAACAGGAGTGAAGTACTGATTCATGTTACAACATGATTGACCCTTGAAAACATGCTAAGTGGAGGATGCAAGACGCAAAAGTCCACATATTGTAAGATTCTATGTGAAAGATCTAGAATAGGCAAATCATTAGAAATAGAAAGTAGATCAGTGGTTGCCAGGCGCTGGGGGTGGGGAGAATGGAGATTGGCTGCTAATGGTATGGGTTTCTTATTAGGATGATGAAAATGTTCTGCAATTAGGTAGTGGGAATGGCTGCATAACTTTGTGAATATACTAAAAATCACTAAATTGTATGGTTTAAAATAATTTTATGGCATGTGAGTTATATCTCAATAAAATGTGTTACTGTAATGTACTCATTAGGGAAACTTGGGGAAACACAGAAATGTAAAAAGAAGACAAAAAATCATTTTCTAAAGACAATCTCTTGGGCTGGCCCCGTGGCGAGGTGGTTAGATTCGCACGTTCTGCTTCATCGGCCTGGGGTTCACTGGTTCGGATCCCAGGTACGGACATGGCACTTCTTGGCAAGCCCTGCTGTGGCAGGTGCCCCACATATAAAGTAGAGGAAGTTGGGCACGGATGTTAGCTCAGGGCCAGTCTTCCTCAGTAAAAAGAGGAGGATTGGCGGCAGATGTTAGCACAGGGCTAATCTTCCTCCAAAAAAAAAAAAAAAAAGACAATCTCTTCATATTTTTGCAAATTTATTCAAGTGGTTTTTGTATGGAGTTTTTCCAAAGTCAATGTACCGTATGACAATTCTGCATCCTGCCTTTTTGACATAACCCATCATAAGCTGGTGCCATTGGCATAGATTATTCATAAACAGAATTTTGAATGATTAATGCACTGTTTTCTGGTTTATCATTTTGTTTTGTTACATTACAATAGTGAAGAATCTTCTTTCAGTCATGAATAGAGAAATACAACTCCAATTGATTTAAGCAAAGGAGGAAATTGATTGGCTGACATAATTAAAAGTCCCGGGATGTGCCTGAAGGTCTAGCTAAGTCAGATACAGATGCTTAAGTAGTATCTTTACAAATGTGATTCATCTCTTAGCTGTGCT